CTGTTTGACAGGGTTCAAATGACCTTGACCTCATTTTCATGTTTCATTGGTTAATGATAAGTTTTCATAATTTAGTCAGTTGATCAGATAATTAAAGCAAGATGTTGTGGTTCGATCAGTTTCTAAGGTCCTATCAGGAATTAAACTACTATATTTGGTGTATGAGATGATTCTAAGGTGTAAATGTCTGTTTTGCATGGTTCATCTGACCTTGGCCTCATTTTCATAGAGCATTGTTAACGGTAATTTTATGTGATACTCATAGTAAAACCTTGATATTTCAGATTTTCAGCAAAGATGCAATGATCACTAAAACAGGCGAGATATTTTAGCGTGTGCACTCTTGTTTTCAATGTGCATGCTCAGATTAAAAAATAAATTTTCCCAGCTTCAACATTTTCCTTTTATTCGTCTTGTCAAAGTACTAAAAAACTGATATTTTCAATTGTTATGCACTGTACATGTATGTACATGCATGTTGTACCTGTGCAATCATTTCATGTGAAATCAACAACGAAGTGTCCATTGTACAGTAAATCTCGTTTGAGCTTTTTAGAACTAGTTTGATATTTTTAAAGGAATTGGTTCTATAAAACACTATGCCCTAAACATTTCCAAATCGTGTATTTTTGTGTCTTTCCTAAAATGATGCTTTTCAATGTTTCACAGAGAATACAACAAGGAAATACTTCTGGACACATAGTTTATCTGCAATGACTTTTTGGCTTGATATGCTGTCAAAATTACTTACATTAAAATTAGTCTAGTAATTCAATATTCTCAATAATTTGTTATGGAATTAGATCGGAACAGCTGCCATTTGTTGAATACTCTATGCTGCCCCCTAGTTGTCGGTTTCTTAATTGTTTGTTTGACATACGCCACACCTTCTTTAATACTGAGATTAAAACATATTTAATGACATCATATACGTGTATTTAGCAAAGATTAAGGAAAATAAAGGACCTGGTCCTGGTGAAATACTGTAATAATTATTGTACTTATTTTCGCAGTGTATCTAATTTCATGAATTTCGCGGTTGGTATATTATCGCGAAAATAAATACACGCGAATTTAAATCCAACCTTTTAACTGAAAACTTTCTGTTAATCAATCTTACATCCGTGACATGACATGTTTACAACCCTGTTAATCCGGTTAATAAACAAACTAGATTCATATCAACTGGTGAAAAGTAGAAACGAAATAAAGATCAACGAAGTAAAAATGAAACAAGATTTATCCTGCAATCAGCTAACAATTGTACAAATAACAGGTACACAAATAAATTTTTGCTTTATTTGTACTTGTACAAATAAAGTCTCATGTTACCCCGCTTCCATGTTGAGCAAGCGGTAATGTGGATATTTCTTTTTGTGTACCAGTTCATTTTGGGGTTCTCTTTGCGGTCCGCGCTTAAACTATGTCGATTTCTTTGAATAATTAGAGACAATGATTTAGATTTTAACAACTAAAGTTTCAAGTTTTGGGTGTAAATTTCAGGATAAAAACAATATATGTACATTGTCGGAAAATATAAAATTTATTTGTACTCGCTACGAAACAGGAGAAAAGCTCGGCGAACCTCGCTTTTCGTCCTGTTTCTAAAGCTCATACAAATAATTTTTTAATTTTCCGACAATGTACATATATTGTATATTACCTTAAACCATATGACTTTTCTATTGTAGTTGCTATCACTTGATTTACAATCAAGTGTGTATATTAGCAAACCGTGTTTTTAAAAGTTTTTCTGTAATCATTGGATAACAAACACACTTGTAGATTTTATGAAAATAAAACAAACACAAATAAATACACACGACGTTACTAAATACTATTTACCGACGGCTATTTACGAATTTACTTTTAATACAGTTTATATTGACAAAATGGACAATAATTCACCTTTGTCTAGTTGAGTTTTATTCGGATTTTCAAAATAAAAATTAACAGACGTATATTATAGTATATACTAGATGTGTTCTTCCCATATCTGAGTGGTGTCAGAGAAGAAGATATGAGACGACTGCATCTGATTTACATGGAAGTAATAAATAATCATTTTGTCTTTTTTCTTGTTCTAAAATGAGCAATTAGTTATGGCAAAACAGGAATGGTGTCGTAATCTTAATCAAAAATAAGTACAATTATAGTAGTTCATAACACAAAATCATTTCTTATATATTTGAAACAAGACCAAGGTAAAAACCCATTAAAGAGTATATATATATATAGCATCTCGGATAGCTGAGACAGATTGCTTTTCACACGACATATACTAATGTTTACTATTTAGTATATCATAAATAATTTTAAGATAAGTTCATCAATGTAGTATGGCAACATGGACATGTAAATTTTACTTTCATTAGCCTAAGCGCAGATAAAAAATCATTAGACAAGTGGTATACTTAAGGCAGTGGCTATTTTGCCAGTTCTTATAAAGTGATGAATTCTGACTTTGTCTTTTGGACACTGCAAATTGGTGTGCATTATCAACATAAAATAATTGAAATATTATTATTTCAGTTTAATATAAATAACATACACAATACACAAAATACACTCAACATTTTAAAATCATTAACAGTCAAAAAACATATTGAAACTGTAAAATGAAGTAACAATAAAAAAGCTAAATTATTTTGTAAAAATGAATTATTATTAAAACAGGAGTTTTACTTCAATTTATAAACTTTTGCATGTGTGCTTCAACTTGCTCTGTTTTATTTAATTTTGTAAAAATCACTTCATCTAATTTTTTAAAAATATGTATAGACTAGTTTCAACTTTTACACCACTCAAAGATGAAAATCAGCAGTAAAACTTAATCAGAATGTATCACAATTGAAAATGTAACAATTACAATTCTAACTGTACCTTCGAATTTTGCGTAAAAGTTAGTTAACATTTATATTTGTAACAAAACCAACTATATGTCTTGGGTGTGATTTTAATCGGACATAAGACAAATGTTGTAATTCTATTCACGCATTGCGCATTACCCTTGGTTCCTTAAAGTCCGAATCCTCGTAACACATTTTTCAAATGTACATTGCATTCTTTTGTTTTTCCAGATGGACATTTTGTAAACAGGTCGCCATACATCTGAATCAAAGTACTTCTTTATTAGATCAATGTTGACTAAATGATGAAAACAAGCTGAGGAGACAAGTTCTGGTTCATTCTCAACAAGATCTTTTGTGATCAAGACATGTCTACTCACAGCTTTAGCTGCAATCTTACTCCCTACAACCATTCAATCTAAAAAGTCTCCATTTCCTTTGAACTTTTGTTTTGCAAAGGTAAACAATTAATTCTACGCAAACGTTTTTCTTTTTTTTTTGGCAACCCAATTACAGTTTGTGTCATTCCCTTGCACCATCCACACTTTGTGATTGCTGGTGGAACATTGTGAGAACACCAATTTACTGAAATTTTGTATTAGTATGTACATTTTTAAAATCAATTTAAAGATTTCAAAAGAGCCGGCAAAATATCAAATTTACTATTTCAATTATTGTATGTTAATAATGCACACCATTCAACAGTATCCAAACGACAAGTTTAGGAATCATCAATGTTTAGCTCACCTGGCCTAAAAGGGCTATCAGTTTCTGGGTAAGCAAACTTATGACAAAAAATTGACATGTAATTGGTAGCCTTATGATTGCCTATTATTGCTTACATTCACTTCATTTGAACTTTGGTGGATAGTTGTCTCATTGGCGATCAGTCCATACTCCTTATTTTGATATTCACTGATGAATCAGGAAAATAAAGTCAAGGTCAGATGAACTCAGCCACTTGAAAATATACAATTAACAATCCCTCCATACAACAAATAAAGTTGACGTTTTGCTTACTTGTGAGCCGAGATACAGACAACACAAAAGCTAAATGATCTTTTGTCGATGAAATAAATTTTGAAACTCAAGGTCATTTGGCATGTACCCCTTAGGAAGTTCAATTTCGGTAGTAATGGGGACGTTTAATCCAAATCTCCGTGAATGGAAAGTTCTATGCTATTCCATGTTAAAAAAAACCTTTGCAGTAACTTTCGTAGTCGTCCGTGGTTGGCCAGTCTCATACGTCAAATGCAAAGCAGGATCTGCTCACCTTTCCGGAGCACTAAGACCACTTTCGATTCGATTATGCTATGACTCAGTCTCTAGTGTTCTATGTTGAGTTTTAAATACTGTTGTTTCTCTTTTGCATGTTTTTCGGGGTTATTTTCTAATTGGCGTTGTCAGTTAGTCATTGACTTATCATCCGTCTGTGTTTTCGCAAGGCAGCATATAAGCAATTATCCTACATTCCCTCATTTTTCAGTGGCATTTCAAATACCTAGCCTTTTATCCAGACCAACCAACGAATAACTATTGTATCACCTGTTTTTGCATTATCGTCTTGTCATCACTTTAGTTATTTCGAATGTATCTTTTTTCAATTAAAGTTGAAAGCTCTAAAGAATCGTATGAATAAAATTGCAGTTTTATTTTCATGGATAACATCAAAAATAAAGAGTTACTTTGAAATGAAACGCGGTTTATCTATAATTTAAACAAAAATATCACTTAAAAAAAGCACGCTTACTTTTAAACGAAATTAAAAAAGCTTACATTTAAGATTTGCTTTGGACATGCGTTTATTACGAGTAACCCAACGCAAGGTAAACACGCATTTATTTAATTAGACATGAAATACCTACTCAATCGAACTTTTACCCAAAAACACATATTATTAGAGACTACGTACGGATATGTACCGATTTTCAATGTGTTTTTTGTACCAACTGCAGAGATAAGAGGCCATTTAAAGAAATGACACACATATTACTTCAATAAAATAATTTAAAAATTTGTATAACCAAAATGATAATTGCAATAGTTTAATACAAATCCAAGAGGAGCATATGTAATACCTAAGTGGTTGTTGGTTTCAAATTATACACACAGAAGCAGAAGATAGCAAAGGGATAGTTCATAACAAACTGTCTCGTTTATCATCCCACCTTCAAGATCTTGAAGGCAAACTAAATTTATCAGTCATAAACAATAAATGTGTCATAAAGACAAAAAATGAGAAACCTCAACGTTGTATTAGGCTATTGTCAATCCTCTTTACATTCAGACAATGAAATTAGAGGACAATCAGTCTGCATGTGTACTTATTTCTACATCACTAGAAAAATAAAAATAAATTCTGAGAAATTGTTTTTATGCTAGTAAACACAATATGAATTGACACCTCTGTTAGAGATTTTTACAAAATTAACACATTTAAGTTATATTTAAACGTGACTTATTTTCAACATAACTCGAATAGATAATTAATCATCAAAATAAAAATTGAGCATTATCCTAAATCACATATCAAGAGATAGAAAATCAACACAGTCAACTCTTTAATTTAATAGACATTATCATATGTTCATTATATTTATTGCTGCCAATCTCTGGGGCGCATCACCAAATGCTGGATCTGGAAGCAATTGTACTGATTTTAGAAATGCCTGTCTAGATGATTCGATGTCTCCAAATGATTGAAAAGCTATACCAAGAATATTGTATGCCATTGCTTTCTCCGAGATATTAGTTTTACTTATCAAATACTCTGTCTCTATTATTAATTGTAAACATCGGAGGGATAACTGACATTCAATGATATTGTTTAGATGTAGATGACATAGAAACTGAAGAAACTTAGCGTATATTACTGCTGGTATTATGTATTGTGCGTTATATCCTTCGGTTCGTAATTCATGCGGAATTATAGTAGAGTTTCTGGTTAACAGCACTGGATTTACTAAATACATGTTAGTCAACTGAACAAAATTCATCTGTCTAAGTACACTTGAACTGAATAATGCATACTGTATATCTGACAAATATATGTCCGCATAAAGTTTTTCGGGAGAACACTTAAGAAGAGAATACTGCAGGATGTCAATAGCTTTTTTGTAGTTTTTAGTCCTATAAAAAAACGAAGCTAACATCAGCCATCCAGATACAGCATCATGACGGGTATTCAGTAATAAAGAACTTACACGGGTTTTGTACTGTTTATAGGTAGATTTGTTAGCGTATTTTTCATCAAATGGTAGTGACTGGTTTTTATGGCAACCCATCTTTGACATATAAAACGACAACAGGTATTTTATTTTGGAGCTGTTAAAAGACAATACTCCATGTACTCCTTTCTCCAACGAAAAATTATCCTCTGAGATAAAACAATTTGTCAGTGATATCAATGGAGATAATATTAGCCCTAGACTGTTAACAGGAAAATAACTCACTTCTTTATTAATTTGACTTTCTAATTCATTGACATACGATATTTGATCTGACAGCAAAATACATTGCCAACCATAACTATTTAAAGTTTTCAGCTTTTTTAAGAGTGTTTCTTGTGCGTGTCCTTTCATCTTATTCTCAAATAAATTATTCTCAGGAATGAAGTAATGAGGACAAACTGAGTTTTCCACACAGTATGTTAGTCTCTTCAAACAACTCATAAAATTAGATATCAGATTAGCTGGGCGCCATATTGTAATTGGTAATTCCTCAGAAATCCAAAACAAAATTGTCTTCAAGAAATACGAGCAAAGTAATTCTTTACAATATAAGTCAATATTTATCACGTCTTTTAGAAGAATTTTCAAAAGAGCATAACACAGTAATTGTGTGTGCGTAAAAGTAGAGATAAGAATTTTTTCTCCAACGGAAAACGATATTCGCCATTCCAATTCTTCTTTGGTAGATCCTTGAATACCTTTTGGAACAAAAAGAACGCCATGTGTTATAATTGACTGTTGAACTTCATATCCCGGCCACGCACTACTTGAGCGTGTTATCCACTGCTGTGCTTGTGATATCCATGATTTACTATGTAAGCAGTATGCAATATCGCAGAGACCATTCTTGTCGGATATACATGGTCCATGAATGTTCGGAATATGCTTATTAGATAACCGTTGTTTTATATAAATGTTTGAAAAATAGTATTCACCTCCAATCTGTTCACAGAGTTTAAAAATGTAATCTTCATGACAGTGTACCAGACGTAATAGGGTGAATCCTAGCTGTGTATCTTCTGTTGTCATTTTAAAATAGGTTTTATCGGGATCAAAAGTAATATTTGTGTTCTCACAAACTTCATAACATATCATGACCCTCATCAAATCTAAATCACTACCTCGCATTTCAAGTCCTTCTCCAAAACTGCCACTTGTGATGTCTGTCCTTTTCCCAATGCTTGATAAATTGTCTCTGACAGCATTCATCGTTCTGATTGTTTTCACATGCTCCTCTGTTCCAACAATTTTCTGACACATGTACTGATATAGAGCTTTTGATTGGTCTTGCATTGCTTTATCTGTAATAACATTAAATCTAATGACAAGTGTTACGTTACTCACGATTGTCTTTTATAGAATGTGCAATGTGATGAATGGTACAGGCGCTTGACAAAATATACGTAAAACCCGTTTGGGGGGTCCCTTATTTTGACTTTTTAATTCTTTTCAAAATACAATATGAAATATTTATGTAATCTTAACTTAGGCTGTCATGTGACTAAGATGTCATTTCACCTCAATGTTTGTCTAGAAAAGACAATTACATTCCAGAAGAAGAAACCAAATGCCCGTTAAAATTAACGATTATGCTGAACTGAACCCCATAAAAAATATAGACAAATATATGTGTATGTTTGCGTGATCTTACTAAAAAAAAATACAGGGGCGAATGTATTGCCCCCCACCACTACCCTCCCCCCTTTTTCCCTGACTAAAATTGCTTCATAAATTATAAAAGCCTTGAAAATAGTAAAATTAAAAACAAATGGTCACAAAATATGATATTGGTCACGTATAAAACTTTTGTAGGATACTCCCCCCGGTTTACACCTCTAGTCGCCTGAAGCTTGTGATGAACTCATACATCCGAGTTAGCTACATATTTGTAAGCCTTCTACGGAATTATTCTTTCAGCGTGTAATTGCTTTTTTACCAAGCATGTGTACAAGTTAATAATAAACATGAGATCCAAATATCAATCGTGCTCGATTGTTCATGTGTTTTCTTGATATGTTTTCAGATGTTAAAATGTGTATGCAATTTAACAAAAACAATCTTCATAATGAGAGCTTAAGGAGTGGGGTGTACCCGATGTGACTCTATTCGGCATACATATTCCTTGGTCTATTATATGCACAACTAAGCCAGAGAAAAAGACCGTATGACCTTAAGCAACACATACTTTTCCGGTTTTTTTTTCATGCAGTATAACTTGTGCTTGTTTGTCTTTTTATGGTTAAGAACCATTTTAATCTTGTTATACAGTTTGGCCTATATGACATTCCTATATCTAACTATTAGTAACTATATCAAATCTACTTGTTAGGCTCTGTGTGTGTGTGTGTGTGTGTGTGTGTGTGTGTGTGTGTGTGTGTGTGTGTGTGTGTGTGTGTGTGTGTGTGTGTGTGTGTGTGTGTGTGTGTGTGTGTGTGTGTGTGTGTGTGTGTGTGTGTGTTCTGGTACACGTATGTCAATGAGGACATGTGTAAGTATACACACCAGTAAGTGAGGACTTCACTCACAACTAAGGACGTCCTCAGATGTAAATTGTATGATTATCGCTAAATTGCTTTAATTTTCAATCAAACATAAAATAAAAAGAAAAAATAAGCAAGTCTCACTCGCCGTCTATTATGAGGAAGTGTGAACTATGTGTGTACATCGATATTATTAAACGCCATTTTTGTGGTCGTGCTATAACACAATATCACCAGTGCGCATGCTTCAAAATCGGAACAAGATGGCGGCATCTGGAGGAGCAAGGTACTTGTTTTTTTCAACATTTTATCACGTTTTACTTTTCATTACCATTCATGTTTTTTATTTAGGAAGGGCAATGCCTCTAAAATTTAGCATGAGCTGCCGATCGACCATAACTACAGTCCCAGGCAGGGGCGGATGATGGATTCAGCTTTTTTCAAAGGGGCGTAATTCCATGAATTGCCTATAAAATTGGTAGATTTTCACGCCGAGTGGAGTGATGCAAAACAAATTTGGACGATTTTATGACTTTTAATGAAAAAATGATACTGTTTCAGATCAAAAGAGGGGAGGGGAGTATGCCCTCTACCAGAGTTGGTAAATTTACCAGCCTGCTCGAGGATGCACGGCTTGTAACTTTCAAACAGGGCTTGCTATTTTTTCCCAAATTTGTATAGCTATATAAATAGCAGAAATTTTTGTTCAGGATTGGCTTGAAATATGAATGAATTTGCTACCCTTACATAATTTCCCATTCTCAACTCTAGAAGTATGAAAGCGATTTAATGAAAATATGTGGTCAGTCACTGTGGCTCTTTTATTTCAAGAATGCAGGGACCTCATTTGATGAGCAGTTTGCAGTTATAGCCTTCTATTTCCATTTTAATAGTAAAAAGGATTTGTCTGATCACGGAGTATGACCAGTGTTTGATCTATGTTTGAGAAAAGTTTTTTTCATTCAAAGTGCACGATGGATGATTACAATGATAAAAAATGTACATGTAGTTGTAAACAAGGTTTCCAGAAGTAAGCAGCGGGAATGTCTTACGAAATCCATCGCTGAGAATGCTGCATACATTACAAGGCTTAAATATAAGGAACAGGATCTGATTATGCATGCATTGTTTTATGTTTGTAGAAATTTTCTGTCCAATTCAAGTAACAAAGACCAACCCTTGTTCGATGCAGGGCTCAGAAAAGACCATAAATAACTCTTTCATGCACGTTATAATATACGACTATATTGTCTTACATTGTATACAGTTCTTTTACTAATTTTGTTTTCACTTTGAGAATATTATTTTATAAATATAACGGAAAAAAAATTCGCTGAACTATTGTACATTATTGTTTAGGGGCCAGCTGAAGCCCGCCTCCAGGTGTGGATTCTCTCACTTGTTGAGACCCATTGGTAGGCTTGCAAGGTTGCAATTGGGTCACAGGTAAATACACATACCAGAATATAAACCTGGAATGTGTTTCAAAATACAAGTACCTGGGTTTATATTTAAGCTCATCTGGCTCATTTAGTTATGCTCATAGTGAACTGTACAAGTATCCTTAAAAGATTATTATCAATTGCGGAAAGATTTTTTATCTCTAAATCCTAACATCAAAACAAGTATTCATGCTTTTGATCACACTGTGAAACCTATTTTATTATATGGTAGTGAAGTATGGGGAATGTTTAATTCTCTTTCCTCTAAATGTAAGAAGGAAGATGTATCTCTTGAAAAATTATATTCAGGTTTACCCGGTGAGAAACTTCACATTAAATTTAACAAATTTATACTTGGTGTGCACAAAAAAACAACAAACAGTCAGGGGTACTACTTGTACAAGTAATCTTTATTTACTTGAAGAAGTAAATAAAATAAACTTATATAAGTTAATTATAATGTTTGAATAATCTCCCCTTAATTTTCTCAAAAATTTACTTGTATAAGTAAATTTTTTTTACAATCCCACAAAAATTCCCAAGTTTTGAGATGTAAAAACATGCCTTTAACAATTTTTCTCAGGTTAGCTCATAATTTTTGATTAGAGTTCAATGTTTCATCTCATTAATTCAACAAAGAAACTGATTGCGCAAAGATCTTAAGTATTTGCGCAAGGCCTTCAAAAATTGCCCCTTGGGGGCTTGTAAATGAGCAGTGTTCTGAAGATAACAGACAAATGAGATTTTCATTGTCCATGAAATTACACTTAAATGATTAGTAAAGACATCTGCAAAGGATAGACAATCAAAAATTCTATTAAAGCAAAGAAGTCCTTAGAATTCAAGAAAAGAAGATAGGATGACTTTTTTACTTGTATAAGTAAAAAAATCTGAATGTCTAAGGGACATAACTAAGCCCAATTTTTTTTTACCTATACAAGTAAATAAAATACACTTGTATAAGTATCCTACAAATTTACTTATATAAGTATATTAATATTTACTTCTTCAAGTAAATAAAAATTACTTGTACAAGTAGTACCCCTGACTGACAAATGTTGCGTTAGATTTCCAATTTATTTTAATATAATTAAAGCGATGCTATTGTATTGGTATTGATTAGAGAATTTAGGAAGTAATTTTCCTCTATTAAAAGAGGCATATGAACAATTTAAAACACTTCACCAACTGAATAAAACATTATGGTATGGTTCAATAAATGTTATATTGAAGTTACTTGGAATTGATTGTACAAATGCAGTGTGTGAAACCTTTTGTTTTTCTTACTCGCCAAATTGAAGAGCAGCTTTTCATTTCAACTCACCAAATTGAAATTCCACTTGCCAGCTTGGAGAGTGACTTACTTTTGGGACTCACCGTCTTTTTCATACATAATTATTAAAAGATATTATTCCAAGTCCACTTACTAAATGTATGTAATTATGTACATTAGTTTTATACATAACTGGTAACTTGACAATTTAAATTACTATTAACATATAGTAGTCTCAGTTATATAAGGGAGCAGTCAACTTATCTTTTGATTAACTTGGGAGAGGGGTATCAAATAGATTTTTACCACAGCTGACAAGTCAAAAGTTATTTTTATGTCATAACCAGATCTAGACTTCCTTACCTCAATGATTATGGATAAATCTTAGTAGAAATGCTGGATTTTGAGCAGCCTCTTCTACTATAATTGTCACTTTTTTATTTTATAAAAACATGAATATTACACTGTGTGGAAAAGTTCTGCACCAAAGGCTTTTTTATATTCAGTTTCTGGTTTTGCTTTTTTATTTAGTTTCTTTTGTTTTTTTAAATTATTTAGCCTTAAAAACTTTTCCATATTGAAATTACTATTTCATAATTTGCCTCCAGATTGAACTTGTTTAACATTCAGAGAAGTATAAAAAATGGCTTTCAAATCTGGTCAACGAATACAATGTCCATCCTGTATTTTGCTTAACCAACAACCATTTTCTTATCTGGGGGGGGGGGGGGGGGGGGGGATTTTTTTGAAAAAAATATTTTTATGGCCTAGCTGACCGAAAAAAAATTTAGTTTTTGCACTGTAGCTGAAATTTTTTTATGGTTTTGTGAAAAACATGATAGGAAAAAAAAATTTTGCTTTCCTTCTCATAAGAAAAAAAATATTTTATCGGAGGAAGGTTCTGAAAAAAAAATTATGAACACAATGAAAATCCCAGGCCCCCCCAGATAAGAAAATGGTTGTTGCCTTAAAATAAACATACATGGACCATAGGAAAGTAATAAAATTATAAAATGTTTTATTTGTAACCCACTGATAGTCCCCACTGTATGCAAATTACATTTATTTTAGTCATTTCAAGAAATTAAAATCAGTGAGGTGGGGATC